TCAGGAGCGACAGGCCGTTGCTGGGGTACTAGGTGCCGAGTCTCCGGATTCTATGGCTGCTGAGTCGGACGCAGACGAGGGTCAGCCGCCCTCGCTAGATGCAGAAGGCCATGCAAAGTCATCACATGTGCAAATCTTGTTGTTTACATTTGAGCCCGACTGCTGAACCATTCATGGGCCCAAATCCAGTGCTACGTAGCCGCTAGTAGTGATGGTAGTGAGTCCATTTCGGGCAAAAACCTTTTTTTTTGAAAACTGGAATCCTGGAACCTTTCCTGGGGCCGGTGGCTCAGAAACGGGAGTAAATACTGGAGTGGGGATTGGGTACCGCAGAGAGAGACAGAGAGCGAGAGAGAGTATAGAGTGTATGTCATCAGCTCTTTACTCTCTACACCGTATAGAGTAAAGAGCTGATGACATGAGAACAACATAAGGGCGCAGCAGATGTAGAAATCAGCAAGTGGATGCTCTTGGGGCGGAAGTTCGTCACTCCGTAGAGTTCATAGATTTAGAGGTAGAACATAGCTAGATCGTTCAAAATGTACCCTAGACCTTCCAGAAAACGTTACCCTACCGCCTCAGTTCCCAGCATTCCACCGCAATTATCTTATCCACGCGAATGTAACATCACCCATGTGCGGATACAGTGTATATTTGGTTTGTCTGTGTTTTCTGCAAACATTCACAGGCGCAGCCGAGCCTGGGGAAGAGGATCAGACCACCATGGCGCTTGAGGGTCGCAGCAGCAAGCGTGGCAAAACGTCCAAGGCGGCGAACGTGCAGGATCCGCGCCGGATGCTTGAAGATGCAGTGGGGAAAAATCCCACGAAAGCAAAAGCTAAAGCTGGACGCGGCGGAGGCAGGGGCAAAAAAGCCAAGTCGAAGGAAGATGATGCTGCGAATGACTCCGAGCAGGATGATGCTGCTGCAGGCGTCAGTGTGACGCTGGCTGAGCTGAAGGAAAAAGATCCCGACCTCTATGAGGTTGCCAAGAAGCACAAGGCCTTGACAGGCAAAGTGTGCCCGTGCTTTGGCCAGTTGGACGTTCGCCTGTACCTTGGCGCCTGCGACAGGAGCCTCGCTGCTGTTCTCACAGGGGTAGCTAGACGACATTTTGTTAGTAATGTTTTTGATACGTGGCTCCGAAAAGATTCCGCAGACAATAGCAAACGTGAAAGAGGTTTTCCGGGCTCCAAACTCAAGACTTACGCCAAGGCCAGGCGAGTGATGAAGAGCCTTGAGGAAGGTTCCTCCGAACTAGAGGCCTTGGAAGAGCGCGTGACGGCTTGCGAGTCGGCGACCTGGTTGTCTACCAAAGTGGATCAGTTGGCTGAGCCCCTGTTCGTTGAGTGCATGAACCAGCTTGCAAACTACGTGCACGAGTTCCCTACGAAGGTCGCCGCTGGGGTGTTGTGCCGGTTGTACAAGGGCAAGTTCACATCATTGATGCGCACGCCGGACCTCTCCGATGCTGCGTTTGATGAAGCGCTTCGTACGCTCTTGCAGACTTTTGACTTCTGGTCACTTGATGCGGGGGAGAACTGTGACGAGGAAGACCTTGTGGACTTGGACGCGCCATCCTTCCGCCCTCTCTACAAGCGTGTCAAGCAGAGTCTGGATGCGGTCGGAGGCTCTGCGCAGGATGGGGAGGATGAAGGCGATGAGGCTTGGGAGATGTTGATGCAGAAGCGGCGGAAGCTTGAGCGGAGAGCATCCAACGAGTCGGAGCCAGCTTCCGAGGCTGGCGGAGGCAATACCAGCACCTCCCCGACTGCGGAGGCAGACCTTCAGGCGTGTAGTTGTGAAACAGAACCGTGTTGGCTCAGGCAAAGTAGAGTAGAATAGAGTAGAGGTGGCGATGTGTGTTTCTAGTTTTAGTCGTTAGTTCGGTACTCTTAGCGTGGCATAGATTTCGACTATGTGTTTTCAAGATTTTTCGTGTCAGACTTTGTTAGAGTACTTACTTGCTTGTCTTGAAGCACAATCGCGTCCTTTAATGCTGTGCTAGCTCTTTCATCATGAACCATTGCAGTGAAAGCCAGTTCTTGAGTGCAAGGTGTTCACAGATGCTGTGCAATCAGTCCTGACGTTGGACATCTTCAAACAAATGCTCAACCAGTGCAAAGACCCACAGACACGTAAGCGCCTGTGCAGCTACGCCCGCGGTTTTCTTGAGATGATGCAGCAAGACTGTGCAGAGAAGTGGCTGCAGAAGCAGCCAGTTGTGGCAAAGGCTTTCCAGGAGGGGATCGACTTCGCATCCTGTGTGACATTTCTCCTGGATTCGCCGCGCCTTGGATTGTCCATCGACTGTGTACGAGCGTACACAGAGTACAAGGGTCCCAATGCTTTCAGGAAAGCAGTGCGGTCTTTGCTGAAGTCTGCCGAGCCGAGCGGCCCCTCCTTCACGCAAATCAAGGCTGATTCAAGAAAATTGCTGCAAGAGCTGGCAATGGATGCCTTCCGGACGGCCGCCACATCCGAGGAGGCCCTGCCCTTGGCGAACAAGCTCTTGAATGACCTCCAAGAGTCTGATCGCGATGTCAAGCCCGGTTGCTGTGCTGCCTTGGCAGCTGCACTTGCCGAGCTTGGCGGGTTGGAGAAGAAGCTCCGCAAGGGCAGTACCGATTCCTTGGCGACGGAGATGTGTTCATTTACCAGAGAGATTGTTGCGAAGGCGCCCGACTTGGAGGGGTGAGGTAATGTTTATTCTGCACAGACTTTTAATTTTTGTGCCTGCGCCAGGTGTTGGACACAAAGACGCCAGAAATGTCTATGAATGACTTGACGGTCATGCTCAACACTTTGAAGCATTTCCAGAAAGAAAAGAATTTCACGGACCTGAGATCCAGGCTGATGGCATGGTCTACGGAGCACAACTCATTCTTGAACGGACAGGAGTTGCAAGGTCTCTTGCAGGAGTTTCGCGCGAAGTGTCAGCAGACCCTTGCTCTTACTACAGTGGATTTCCAGGCTTGGCTACAAGTAATTAGCTGTGTTTCAGCGTCCATTAAAGTCATAGTCAGTCGTCATAGTCTAGAGTCTAAACCTCCAGATCCAGAGTAGATATGTGCCTAGATAGCCCTAAACCCCGGAAGCTGGGACAGGCTGAGCAAGCGCTGGAATTGATGGGCAAACTGCAGCCGCCCCTCACAAGTGATTTGTGCGTCGCAATGCGCGATGCCATCCCAGACTTGCTGTCACAGGTGGTTACGCAGGCAAGTACCCCATGGCCCCATGTACCCACTTCCCGCAAACATTCTTCACGTAACATGTACAATGTACAATGTACCTGCCTCCCGTATCCTTTGTTTTCCACAGGTTAAACTGGAATGGATGGCCAGGGTGCTGCGCCTTAGATCGTTGGTGTTTACATAGCACTGCGGAGTAGTAGCATTAAGAGCGACAAAGGATTTCCTGGACGTAGGGGCCAATAGCTATGGACATGACCAATGATGTTGAAGACGGCAATCAGCAATCCATGAGAGGTCTCTGGCAAAGCCGCCGCGGTGACCCCGCTGCTGCAGACGGTGACATTTTTGCAGAAGATGGTCAAGTGTTGTGACCACCCACATGCGAAGCTGGCTCAGATGTTGGTGAAGTTCATCAAGAGCACCGTGCTCCTTGCCGATGCCACCCAGGAGATCGAGAACTCAGGCAATGATCCGTCCCAGCGATTCAAGAAGGATGCGAAGTTCGTTTCTTTGGCAAATGCTTGCAAGCACAAGCAGAGTCAGGATCAAAGCATGGGTGAGATTGACGACTGGATGAAGCAGCATGCGGACCTAGTGGCGTCTTCGCACGCGGCGGAGGCCCCTTTCTTTGTGAACTTAGAAAGATAGGACTTACGTGGTCGGGGGGACTCAGTAAGTATACTTATAAGTATGAGCTCTATGACCCACATAGTAGCCCTAGAAATCCCAATCATTTACCGACTTACTAAGTCCCCGCGACCCTCCACGTATGCAAAGTTGAGCATCGCTGAGTGGTGATGTCACCTCTAATTCTATGGATAGCGGGTGGTACTAAGAGGTGCAGCTTCGTAGCAGCTGCAAGCACTTCCCCAGATTCATAATAACATCCCCGTATAGTAGACCCCATATTCTATCTACTTAAGCCATACTTATCTACTTAAGGGGCTGCAGAAAGAGAATTGAGGGGAGGACTATGGACCACATTATTTAGCGCCATGTACGCACCTTGCCTCTAGTGACTCTAAGTAGAAGCTGCGGAGTCCATTCATTGATTATAACAATAATGTAGCGCTTTCAGGTTGTGACACCAGAGATGCGGCTGCTGCAACTCGACATCGTTGCGAAGATTCGGGAGTCTGCGAAGCATGACGATGTGTCCGACAAGGCTGACATTGTCATGGATTCCCTGCTTTATGCCATCGCCCAGTTGCACAATGGCTTGCACTCGGCCATGGAAGAGGTGCGTGCTGCCACCCGCGATTGCCACTCCGGGGGTGAGCATGACTGGAAGGTCGACATCCCAGACAGCGCCCCCGTCAAGTTGGTCTTGGAGAAAGCCTGCGCATCCTTCGGAAAGATTGAGTCACAGGCTTTGCGAACAGCCCTCGACACGGCTGTGGAGGCAGAAATCTACATTCGTGATTGGCAATGCTTCGCATGGTCAAGAAGTACAGCTTTACCCTACGCCCTACACCTCGAAGTCTAGAGTCTAGCAGTACTTGCATTGGTCCCCCACATTCAACGATATAGTACCTACATGGAGCCGTAGAACCTTAGGGTTAAGCTTTAAAGTGTGCAGGTGATAGATCGCACGCTGAGTGTTACACTGATGCAGCGGGGAAAGCCAGTAACAAGACCCAAGTAGGCGTACGCCAGGCCACCCAAGGTATTTTTCATTGTGCTTCACTTCTGCCATCCCAATGCCCTCGCACCCTTGTGCCTCATGTCCCCAAAAAGGGATGGAAGTGTTGTAACTTGTATCAGTATCATACATACATTCGTAAAAGCTGGCTTGCATCCGCGCAGGCGCAGAAGCGGGCCAAGCTGTTGCTCGACAAGATCGACTTGCCTGTCGAGCAGATTGCAGGCCTCAAGAGCAAGCTCGCGGAGGCGAGCGAGCGCACCCGCGATGGGCGGTCGCTCTTCGTCGAAGTCGCGTTCAGCTTCGCCCTCGATAATCTCATGGATCCGAAATCGTCCAAGCCTAAGGCCTCAATGCGCAAGGTGTTGCAGGAACAGCATTCCGTGATCGCAAAGAAGCGGGACGGGATAGACGAGACCTGCGTCCACCAGGTTCTTCTGTCCGAAGGGCGAAAACACTTGTGAAGGGTTAGTTCCCAAAATTAGGGCACCGTTTTAGTACCCCTAAATGTTAGGTGCTATATAATCAATCCACAATCCAAAGAGGGCCTTAATTTTGAGAACAACCCGAAAGTGGCTGCGTAGCACAGCTGTTTAAGCCCTCGTGCGCAGGGCGCAAAGCCAGCAGTGGGACCTGGTGTAGTGTAGTCTTGGGACAAGAAGCTAGCAAGCGCTTTGGCCTCCACCCTAGCCCTACTAGCAAGCCCTAGCAACTTGCAAGCCCCTCTGTGCAGTTGGGGTGCTTGATGCCGCCAGGTCTCTGTACCAGCTTTAAGGTGTAGATCCGCGCAGGTTTTCTTCAGCGCCCGTGCGCAGGGCAGAGCAAGCAACAGACCCAGTGATGTAGTCAGCTGTGTAGTGTAGTTTTGGGACAAGAAGCTAGCAAGCACTTTGAATTATTATGCAACTGTTACTGAGCGGGGGCAGTATCCAAGGCTTAGGGTATAGGGTTTAGGGTTTGGGGTTGGGTTTAGGGTTTTGGATAATTATAGGGTTTAGGGCCGTGTAGTGTAGTGTTCTTTTTGGGACAGGAATATCGAAAAGCCAACAAACGCTTTGGCCTTAACCCTCCGCAACTTGTAAACTGCTCTGCGCTGTCGGGGTGCTTGACGTCACCAATTTGCTGCACCACCTTGAAGGTGCAGGCTTTTAAGCTTTCGTGTACAGGTCAAAGCAAACAGTGAGACCCGGCCCTGTGGTAGTCAGTTGTCAGCAAGAAGCTAACAAACACTTTGGCCTCAGCCTTCAGCAACTTGTAAACCGCTTTGTTCAGCCGGGGTGCTTGACGTCACGAGGTTGCTGCACCACCTGGAAGGTGTAGGTTTTTCAGCTCCACAGGGCAAAGCAAGCAGTGAGAGAGAGTGCTAGGGTTTAGGGTGTAGGGTGTAGGGCAGTGTAGGGCCTGTAGGGTTTAGGGTGTTTAGGGTTTAGGGTGTAGGGTTGTAGGGTTTGTGTAGTGTGCAGGGTTTAGGTTTAGGGCTTAGGGTGTCGGGTGTAGGGTTTAGGGTGTAGGACAGGGTGTAGGGTTTAGGGTATAGGGTGTAGGGTTTATTTAGGTTTGTTGTAGGATTTTGGGTGTAGGGTTTTAGCTGTGCTGCGTAACTCGGGGACAAGAATGACAACAAGCTAACAAGCGCTCTGACCTCACACCTCTGCAACTTGCAAACCGCTCTCTGTGCAGCCGGGGCGCTTCACGTCACGAGGTTGCTGCACCACCTTGAAGGTGTAGGCTTTTCAGCTCCCGTACACAGGGCAAAGCAAGCAGTGAGAGACGGTACTGTAGAGTGTTAAGGCTGTTAGGGTTTAGGGTGTAGGGTTTAGGGTGTTTAGGGTTTTGGGTGTAGGGTCTAGGGTTTTGGTTCTTTTGTGTAACTCGGGGACCAGAATGACAACAAGCTCACAAGTGTTTTGACCAAACCTCTGCAACTTGTAAATTGTAAACCGCTTTGTGCTGTCGGGGTGCTTGACACCACGAGGTTGCTGCACCACCTTGAAGGTGTAGGTTTTTCAGCTAGGGCAAAGCAAGCAGTGAGAGACAGCACTGGTACTGCAGAGGGTTAGGGTTTAGGGTTTAAAGTTTAGGTTGGGTGCCCCCCCCCCCCAGTAACAGTCTATATTAGGGTTCCTATTAAGGGCTACGGCTACATGTAACCATATTATCGTTATAATGCAACTGTTACTGAGCGGGGGCAGTATCCAAGGCTTAGGGTATAGGGTTTAGGGTTTGGGGTTGGGTTTAGGGTTCTGGATATAGGGTTTAGGGCCGTGTAGTGTAGTGTTCTTTTTGGAACAAGAATTTCGAAAAGCCAACAAACGCTTTGGCCTTAACCCTCCGCAACTTGTAAACTGCTCTGTGCTGTCGGGGTGCTTGACGTCACCAATTTGCTGCACCACCTTGAATGTGCAGGCTTTTAAGCTCTTGTGTGCAAAGCAAAGCAAGCAGTGAAGCCCGGTACTGTATTGAGCCGTGTAGGGAGTACAAGAAGCTAGCCAACAAATACTTTCCAAAGCGCTCTCTGCAGTCGGGTTGCTTGACGTCACCAACTCGTTGCGCCACCGCTTTCGAGAACAAGACAGCTGCAGAACGCCGTTTGCTGGAGTCCAAGAATCAGGGTTTAGGGTCTACGGTTTACACCCCAAAACTACCAGAGAATTACCTTTAAATCACCACAGAATCACCTATGTGTTTTCTGCCATGGGCAACCGCTCTAGTAAAAATCACGAAGAATTTAGGGAAATTTCACCTGCCTTCAGACCCTTCAAAGCCACCATTACTATACATTCACTGGCAAATCACTCAAAAATCACAGGTGCTCAGAGTTGTGAAAGTGGAAGCACAACAATCTGAGGCCTTATGGCTTGCAAAATAATTCAAAACCTGTTTCCAATGGTTGGCTGCCATCGTATCTCTTAACCCTAAACCCCAAACCCCCCCAATGCCAAGCCTTGACACTACGGTGGATACTAAAAAAATCCAGCGTGACCCTAGGTACCTTACGCCTTGGGAATTGCGGTTTAGGGTTTGGGGTTTAGGGTTAAGGTTTAGGGTATTATAAAAGTATACCAAGGTCATGCAGGATTGTGAGTATCAATAGTAAGTCCTAAATCCTGAGCCCTCACTCATAAACTCTCATCTCATCAGCAAGCCCTAGATTCTGTATCCTTGGTAGCTGGGTAGGCAACCTTTTTAACCCTTTGCAGTCTACAAAGCTTCACCCGTTTCTCGAGCCTTGAATTCAGTGTCTGAACCTGAAACCCTATAAGCCCCTGTCTCTCCAACACAATCTGATGCCTAAGCCCAAAACACTCCACGTGCCTGCTAAGTTATTTGGCTCCCAAAGCTTGACATTGTATTCCGGGTGCTCCCCCACTCTGCAGCACTTGGATAATGTATGTAATCTAATTACTTATAGCCCTCAGCATGGCCCCTAACATAGTTACAGGGTGGGGGCAGTACCCAAGACCTTAAATCCTAAACCCTAAACCCTAATCCTGTGGTATGTGAAGCGAGCTGGGGCAGTACCGAAATTGTACTTGCAGTACGATTGTATCCACTCCAACGGGTGGAAGGTTTCTAAGTTAGCTCGAGACCTGCAGCCCTTAACCCTAAACTTACTGGGGGTCAGTAGGGCATTAGGGATGAGGGTTTAAAGTTTAGGGATTAGGCTTTAATGTGGCACCCACTTAACAAAAGGTACCAGGAATTATTGAAGACACAGCAATGCGTGGCATACCCGCTATTATGTCAAGTTTGGGGGGCCAGAATAACAAATTTCCAGGTCGGAAGACCTAAAACAATTAGTTTTAAGTCTGAATTATTCTTGATAAAATAACCAGGATGGGCTATTAGACCTTAAAGGGCCCTTAATCTACCCTTATTAAGGTACTAATGGGGAATTTTAGGGTCGAATAGCCCATGCCGGAAGGTCAGGTCAGAGCTTAAGGGTGCCTAACTCCGAAAACCTTACTACTTGCTCAGACCCTCAAACAATTTTGATTCAGGACGCCCTAAACTGCTTGGGGGTGGACCCCCCCAGTTTAAGCAGGGTGCAACATTATGGGTTTAGGGCTTGGGGTTTAGGGTTTGGGGACTGGGGTTCAGGGTTACAGGAACATGTGTTGTATAGGGACTATAGTCCCTTATTCCCTATTGCTGAGAACCAGTAGGTAGGCCCTTTTAAATCTCCTTGGGACTTAGCTTGGACCTTAGACCCTTAACCCTTTGGGATTCCCTTGTACTCCTATTATAGGTACCTAAGGGTCAACCCTTAGTAGGGGTCCTAAGTAAGCCCCTTTTAAACGCAGGCGATCTCCGCCATTGCAGCAGCCGCCCCCGCCGCAGAAGGTCTTCGATAGGCCCAGGCTTGAGATTACGATTCCGGAGTCGGAAGCCTGGACATAATTTAGTAGTTAGTTTAGGGTCCTTTTAGGGTAGGGTTTAGGGGTTTAGGGGTTTAGGGGTTTAGGGCTTAAGGTTTAGGGGTTTAGTAGGGGTTTAGGGTTTAGAGAAAGGCTGAGGGGTTAGAGGGCTTGGCGCGTGGGATGTCAGGTTTAGGAGAACCTTGGACCTGATTTTGTTTCTCTGGAGCGGAGAAGGGTCTAGGGTTAAGGATTTAGAGTTTGGATTCTAGGCCCCAGGGCTTAGGTTTTCAGGTACTGGGTACAGGGTTCCGGATGCACGGCTTAGGGTTTGGGAAGATGAGGAAATGGGAAGGGTTTAGACAACTATTTCTGAAACTGGACTAAGAACAAGCATGGGATCTGCAAAAACGGGGCTTGCTGTATTTGTTCCTCGCATGGATCCTACGCCCAACAGGCAACTCAGAAGATGCTCCTTAACCAGGTACCCCAGTAGTACCCTTTTTTCCTTTTTGGTTTGGGGTCTCCTTATTAAATCTGAATAGTAGCAAAAGGGTACCCTTATTATTAAGGGGTTACTGGGGAACCTAGAACAAATCTTGGATTGGGCCCCCACCCACTAATAGTGGTATACTAGAAATCTATTAATATAAGGATCTTAACATAATTACCAGTACCTGTTGTGGTCACTATTAGTGGGAGTTAGCCACGCCTTGCGAACTCTAATTGCCTGTAAGCACAGCAGAGCAATGTCACAACAGCAGCTTTGGATACCGCCTGCCGGGAGGTCCAGAAGCTTGCGCCGAAACAACAACAAATCATCCCCTAAACCCTATGGTGTAAGAGTTTATTATAGGGGTTGGGGCGAGAACAAGCCATAGTTACCATTGATATGCGGACCCCCAATATACTATGGGGACCCCGCAAAAAGTGCCCTTCAATTTGAAAGCTACCCAACCCAACCCCCATAATCCCCCAATTAAACCTAAACCCTAGGCCCCCAACCTTCAACGCCCCCAGATCCCGCAACCTCAACCCTGTTTTAAATCTAGAGGGCTGCTTGGACTTATATA